ACACTTCATTCTAAATGTCCTATACTTTGCAGAATGAGTCATAGCCACATATATGTGGCATAACAATCAGTGCATACCACAAAGGGCACGACTACTCCTGGGTGAAGTACACTATTAGTTGCTGTGGACTCTTTGTCCACAGGATGGGGGAGGCTATTAAGGCACTTAGGAGCACTGCCACTCAAGAGCATCAATCTTACTTTTGCTTTATGCCACTTCTACACTGCCATATAATCAAGTTCATATAGTTACTGATAATCTGGATTTTATATGACAGTGTAGAAGGGGCCTTAGGACACTTCCAGACAGCTCCAAAATCTGTTCCAAAGTGGATTCTTACCCCACCCCCAAAAACTGGGCTTTCCTGGGGTGTGTGTGTCTAGATGCTATCCCGGTAACTATTGGGATGGCATGCAGCCATCCCAAAGCCCCAGAAAACAACTCCTAAAAAAACTTACTGGGCCACCATTAAGGCGGAGAAGGGGGTGAGGGGCAAGAAGGAAAATAATTCCTACCCCACCAATCTCCTGTCACTTCATTTCTATGGTGGATGCCATCCCGGATCTTTGGGCTCCAGGAGTCCAAAAGGTGTGAGATGGCTGTGGGGACTCACCCATGGGTAGTTCCGGTTGGTCCTGCAACTACCCAGAGATAAGCCCCTATAGGCCCAATACCTCATTATACCCAGGCCTTGCAGAAAGGCCCAGATCTAATGGAGGTATTCAATTAATTCGGAATGACCACAGTTATTCCTAATTAATTTGTTTTTACCAGGGATGTCATTTGGACATCCCCAGTAAAAACCCAGACAGGTCCCAGGATATGGGCCTGTCTAGACGGGCCCATAGTTTATAACAAACACTTGCTCTGTGACCAGGACTTGGGACAATGTTTTCAAGCTATTGACTATTACTTGCTACTTTCCTTCTTGAGGCTCTCTTAAGAGTAAAGTTCTTTTTAGTGTCATTAAAGCATCACTTTTGTACTATAAGCAGTAATTAGAATACTAATGGTTTGTGTTCTGCTTCTGTTAATACCAGTGGAATTGGATTTAGTTGGGTGAATAAGGGAACAGTTTTTCTCTCCTCTCTCATCTTTTGCACTTGTAGACTCTTCAAAGAGCTTCCGCTGTTTCTTGTTAAAAAGGAAATATTTTCCATAAATTAGATGTGGGGGCTTCCTTACTTCTTCCATTTAAGCTTGCTTTCCTCAGTGCTTTGAACTACAGTTTTATCCTTACTCAGGACTGATAACTGCTGTTTATATACACTCCTGGCTTTAAAACACACATGTGATTTGCTGCTAGTGCTATGGATTTTGTTATCTTCCTGGAAGACACCACAGATGCGTGAAAAACTTGCACCCCCTGCCCCAAAATAGCACATCATGTCGCAAACTTCCTCCTCAAAATGTGTTTTTTTCCTGCATCTTTAACTTACAACTTGAAAAGGAAAAAAATTCTCCATTAAAGAAGCGGTGCAATATGATTAGCGATATTTTGATTGTGAAAACAAGTAGTTCACAATGTCATATGAAGGGCAGATGAAACCCAAGAATACATACAAACTTTATAATGATGCTAGTATTAAAATGTGTCTGAAATCATTCTTATTTTTCCCTTATGCTTTAAGGGCTCAGTTCCCAGAAGTATAAGGATAATCCCAAACCTTTTTTCCCCAATCAGGCCAAATTGACTTGCATTCTGTGCCCAATAACAGTGACTAGGAAGTTCATGACTATTCCTCTGTGGGATTGTTGACCTGTTTTTTTCCTCCAGCACATTTATTTAACTCTTGCAATCTACAAGGAGGGCAAGAAAGACAAAGGTTTGCTGCACAATCTGAAGGCATTTCTGTCATGGATCTGATACCATGGGGATTCTCATTCCAAAATAACTTGAATTTTTAATGTGTTAAACTAGTTGAGTGTTGCAGTTTCAGAACAATAGTAAACATTACAAGTTGTAACATTGAATATAATTGGATTACATTGGAATTTCTTTATTTTTAAGATGTTTTCATTCTTACTACCACTGATACACTGAGAAAGACTTTCTTATAATATTTAATTATTTTTATATGGTGATTCGGTTTTCTCTTTTTGAGTAAAATCTGTTTCTCATTTATACTAAGTTATTCTTTCATTAGATGTTTGGGAGACTCTGTCATTATGAGCTGAAGGGCAGGACCACCTACCTCCGTAGTCATAGGTAAAGAAAAACGTTTCCCCTTGATATTAAGTCTAGTCAAGTCTGTCTCTGCGGGGTGGTGCTCATCTCCATTTCTAAGCCAAAGAGCCGGCGATGTTCGTAGACGCCTCCTAGGTCATGTGGCTAGCATGACTGCATGGGCCTTCCCGCCAAAGTGGTACCTACTGATCTACTCACATTTGCATGTTTTCAAACTGTTAGGTTGGCAGAAGCTGGGACTAACAACGGGAGCTCACCCAGTCTGTGAATCTGAACCACCGACCTTCTGATTAGCAAGTTCAGCAGCTTAGTGGTTTAACCTGCTGCACTACTGCTGCCCCTTTCCGTAGTCATAGTGTGGAAAAAGAAAGACAGTTGAAAATAAGGCTATCAGTTTATTTGTTTTTGTTTTTCCAATCTTAGATTCAAGAGAGCTATCATATATAGGGAACTGGAAAATATAAAGTGGATCTGGGATGACAAAGACTGTCTTATATCCCTTTTGAATGTACCCCGACAAGCCCATTTGACATAAAGCCCATCCCATGTAACACAGAGGCAGAGTCTACACAATTGGAAAGTTGCTCCATCTGGAGTTATGGGAAACAGGATTGAGAAAAATTATTTTTTTCAAAAGGAGGTACTTCCTTGCTTGGCCATTCTCTTTCCTGCCTTTAAGGAGATAAGAAGGCTTTGGGGTATTTTGCTGGAGCTTTTGAAAGCATATTAGACAGTATAAAAGAACAACTTTCTTTTGCCCCTTCTGACATCCCTCCAAGAGAGTTATGTGGAACAGGTAAATAGGTTAGTTAGTCATTTGTGATTTTTTCCAGTCAGGATGAATCTTTTGCTAGGGTTAAAAGAAGAAGATCTTTGTCGATTCCCAGCCTGACTTGAACCAGAAACTAATATTCAAAATATTGTCGAAGGCTTTCGTGGCTGGAATCACTCAGTTCTTGTGGGTTTTTTCGGGCTATATGGCCATGTTCTAGAGGCATTTCTCCTGACGTTTCGCCTGCATCTATGGCAAGCATCCTCAGAGGTGAGGTCTACTGGAACTGGGGAAAAAGGGGTTTATATATCTGTGGAATGACCAGGGTGAGACAAAGGGCTTTGTAAGTTGGGCTAGGTGTGGATCTTTCAACTGACCACCTTGATTGTATGCTAATTGTATGCCACAAGAACTAATATTCAAAATGTTCCATTTTGAGCTATATGGTGCTGTGTGCATGTCACAGAAAAGAAAATTCAGTCAGTTGACTACTTCTGGATCTCTCCATCCCAACTCAATGCCAAATTATTCTATAAATCTATGAGAGAACATTGATAGATAATCCTTTTGTCAACTATTGAACAAGTGAACATCAAGAAAATAGACAGGAAGCAGTACAACTAAGCAACCATTTTCTTTTCAGTCATTTCTTCAAGGGCTGTATTGCATTATTATGTAGCAGGAACTGGAGAAAGCAGAGCTGTCTTATGATCAACAAAATCTTAGTAAATTCATTACATGGGATTTTAAATTTTATATATATGTGTGTGTGTGGGTATAATTACAAACCCCATGCAATTGATTTACTAAGATTTCATAACTGGAAGAAGTGGAGCTGTCTTATGATCAATGAAATTTTAGTAATTCATTGCATGGGATCTTAATATATACATACATATATATACATTAAAAACCCTATGCATTTAATTTATAAAGATTTCGTTGATCATAAGACAGTTCTACTTCCTTCAGTTCTCTGCACATTAGATGGCAAGGAGAATGTTGGCTAAAATCTTTCTCTTTGAAATATAGTATGCTACCTCCATGCAGTCACATATGCCCCTCATGCATGCCTGAAGTGGTACAAACTCAAGCACAGATTTGCTACTTATTCCATACTTATTGTCCCGGGTTTGTAAGACAGTAAAATACAGTTGCCCTGTGACTAGAGTGAGTAGCAAAATTCTCTTCTCTAAAGGCTGCTGAGTGTCATGGGGTTGGGGTGTGTTGTGTATGTTGTTGTTGACATCTACTCTAAGTCACCATAAGGAAAGTTCAGTTGAAAGGCAGGAGATTTATTTGGTCATGAATTGTTTTATTGTACTCATTATCTGATGAAACTGGGATATTGGAGAACATTACTGGCAATGAAGAGATTGGTATGAGGCACCTCTTTTGCTGGAATGTTCTGTTCAACCTGGTAATATGGGAGGACAGACTTCTACTGTTGTTGAGAAAGAACTGCAGCTTTGTTAATGAAAGAGATCAGCTGGTTCAGGGAGTAATGTGATGCAAATGAGTTTTTATAGACATGTGGCATTTAAAGCTGACTTTAAATAAAGGTGTTGTTGAAGCTAGAATGAATTAAGTGAAACACAGGATGTAATTGTCTGAGGATTTCTATTTCTATAAAGCGTCGCTGGCCTATTTTGTTGTTGCTGCTGCTTTTTTCTGTTTGTTATGACAAGCAGCTTAAGCAGGATAGTAGACTGTCCACTGGGGAGTCTCTGTTAAGGGGATTTCACTGAATATGTTGTATGATCATTTTAGGCTGTGTTTGTCTAAATACCTTCAGCTAGTTCAGAATCTATGAAGTCATGTCCTGCCAGTTTCCTAAAACTGCTTTAATAAAACAATATGGATCTGTAATCTGAAAACTGAAAATAAAGTATGTGTCGGATTATACAAATGTATGATCTGACTTGTCTTCTTACGTCTGCAGGGCATTCTTCTTAAATCTTATTGGAAGTGAGATGTATATGTTATTGTGGTGGGAGGCAAATGTGTACATTTGAGTCACCTTTTAAACATGTGTTGCAGGCTGATGCTGATGTCCTTATACAACGTAAGTATTAATGTGAAAGGCTTGAAGTACATCAGTGAAAACTCAGGATTCTTCCCATTACTTTGGTGGCTCCTGAATGGTAAGATATTTGTGAATGCATTGAATCAAGCATATATACTCTCAAATCTATTAATGTGTTTTTTTAACCACATCTCTGGAGTGCTTCACAATACTTCACTTTGAATCTCATCATTTGCAAGAGATTTATCTTGGAAGTAATTGTTGGTGGGAGGGAGAAGGATGGGTGGTATAAAACAGAAAGAACTCGCTCATTTGTGTGGGTCACAGAGACCAAAGGAAGGAGAACAGGTTGTATAACTGTAATTGTAGCTCTTTGATCATCTGTGAACTCACAGAACTCTGCCGATCCTCTTCTCCTCATGCCCTTGCTTCCTTCAATCCTTGGTATCCATAGAATTGAGTGTTTAGGCAGGAACCATGTCAATATGGCACCAATAAGGTGTTAAGGTACAAGCTTTCTGCCAAATACCACAATCACATTCCCCAATCTACAGAACTCCTGCCAGTTGTCCAGCCTCTTGCTAGGAAAGTACCCCTCTTCCCACACACTGCAGTAACTTAAGCTTGAAATAAAGATACATTTGTCCTAACTTTCTTTTCTCTAACTGCAATTTTCAGTTCATCCTTTTCATAATCCTTTTCAGAATCTAATCTAAGCCTCTCCATAAAGTAACTGTGTAGTTGCTAGCAAAAAAAGATATACAATGGGTTGTTATAGGTTTTTTTCGGGCTATATGGCCATGTTCTAGAGGCATTCTTTCCTGATGTTTCACCTGCATCTATGGCAAGCATCCTCAGAGGTAGTGAGGTCTGTTGGAACTAGCAAAATTGGGTTTATATATCTGTGGAATGACCAGGGTGGGACAAAGAACTCTTGTCTGCTGGAGCTAGGTGTGAATGTTTCAACTGACCACCTTGATTGGCATTTGGTGGCCTGGCGGTTTTTTGGTGTGGCTGACATGCCTGGGGCAATCTTTTGTTGAGAGGTGATTAGATGTGCCTGATTGTTTCCCTCTGTTGTTTTGCTGTTGTAATTTTAGAGTTTTTTAAATACTGGTAGCCAGATTTTGTTCATTTTCATGGTTTCCTCCTTTCTGTTGAAATTGTCCACATGCTTGTGGATTTCAATGGCTTCTCTGTGTAGTCTGACATGGTGGTTGTGAGAGTGGTCCAGCATTTCTGTGTTCTCAAATAATATGCTGTGTCCAGGCTGGTTCATCAGGTGCTCTGCTATGGCTGACTTCTCTGGTTGAATCAGCCTGCAGTGCCTTTCATGTTCCTTGATGCGTGTTTGGGGGATTCTGCTGCGTTTGGTGGTCCCTATGTAGACTTGTCCACAGCTGCATGGTATACGATAGACTCTTGCAGAGGTGAGAGGATCCCTCTTGTCCTTTGCTGAACGTAGCATTTGTTGGATTTTCTTGGTGGGTCTGTAGATAGTTTGTATGTTGTGTTTCCTCATCAGCTTCCCTATGCGGTCAGTGGTTCCTTGATGTATGGCAAGAACACTTTTCCTCTGGGTGGATCTTTGTCTTTACTCTCGTGGCTTGTTCTTGGTCTTGCAGCTCTTCTGACGTCTGAGGTGGAGTATCCATTGGCCTGTAGAGCTCAGTTTAGGTGGTTTAGTTCATCTTGGAGGAGGTGCGGTTCGCAGATTCTTTTTGTACGGTCTGCCAAGGCTTTAATGATTCCGGCCATGAAAGCCTTCGACAATGATATACAATGTTCTAATGCCAGTCAGGAAACATCAAAAAACTTGTAAATTAGTCAGTCTTGAACTTGATAACCTTTGTATGCTAGCAAGATAAATCTGGCCCCTGACGAAATAATATCACAGGGACATGTCAGTTGAATTCACAGATTTATGGAACCTATTGCAGATTAAAAGGTAAGCACTGAGGTTATGCAGTTACGTAAGCTCCATTTTAAAAATCTGCATTTGAGAGTATGGTGCTAATGACCCATGTGACTACAGTATCTTTCTGTCTTATCAGTTGCTTGAGTGAATCACGGTTAGTACGAGCTGACATCAAATACAAATGATGTGCTAGTTCTTGAGGTTTCTTTTCCATGTCAGGAGTGACTTGAGAAATTGCAAGTTGTGTCTGGTGTGAGAGAATTGGCTCTCTGCAGGAATGTTGCCCAGGGGGCACTGGGATGTTTTACCATCCTGTGGGAGGCTTCTCTCATGTCCCCACATGGGAAGCTGGAGCTGATGGATGGGAGCTCACCCTGCTCCCCAGATTTGAACTACCAACCTTTTGGTTAGCAGTACTGCTGGCACAAAGGTTTAACACATTGTGCCATCGGGGGCTCCAGTTCTTGAGGTAATATTAGCAAAGCCATGGTATATTGTCAAGAAGTTTTATTATAAAACAACATGATAACTTTTCATTGTATAACTAGGACAAAACAAACTCTGATTTGGCTGGCATGGACTTTTATAAACACACTGTATCACCTTAAATGTGCGCTGCAGCATGTATTGCCTAAATGTATTTTGGAGAAGTTGCGGTTTCAAGTTGTCTTGAAGTCGTATTATAGTTTTAGATTAGATGCATCCACAATCACCTAATCCCATACAAACCTGAGATATAATAGTCCAGACATCCTATTCTCTGTGAATGGAATTATGAAAACTGTTGAGAATTTTCTCTGACAGGTAAGATGAACCTTTTAGCTAGAAGCAAAAATAAAACAACACAATTGTATGTGTGTATTTTCCTCTCCTTTATTCATTTGGCACATACTGTCTAATATCTGTGTATTGAACTTAACTGAAACTTTCTGAAGCACCATTGTGAAGCACTTATCTAACTGGATGCTGCAAATTAAAATATTTTTCTTTAAAAGCACATAGCTTATTTTAGGACATTTGTATGAAGAGTTCTTGGTTATGCAAAGTAGCATGTGTAATATTGATAACTGTACTTATCTTCTTTTCTGCCTCATGGCAAATTCAGTTCTCCTCCTCCTGTGCATTCAGTCAGTATGTGGAGCACATTTGTGAATCGGTCTTCTTTGAAAACTTTATTTGAGGCAGTCATTTAGTTTTCTGCTCCTTTATAAATTCTGAAAGTTAGCTAGAGATTTTTTCTTCAATTCTAGATCCAGATGCTGAGGTTTGCCTTCATGTATTACGTCTTCTCCAGTCTGTAATTTTAGAGCCAGAGGTTTTAACCAAGTCATCTCCTGAAATGCGTGAGTCCTTGCCACTTCCACGTATCCATATGCTATCAAAGAGCCGCAATGCAGATCTGAGAATCCTGGCTCAAGAACTGTTGGAGGACCTTAAAGCTTTAGAGTATGAAATATAAGGTTATGTTCTTGTCATTTCAATAATGCTATATATGTATTTAGAAAAGTCATTTTTTGTAATTAAATATGTGTGTGGCTAGTGTGCCTATGCAGAAAAAAGTTGTCATAGGTGTACAGAGCAGGCTTCAAGATATCCATGCTAGCTATGTACAAAACACTCACAAATAATGACTATGTAAAGTTTAATGCTAGTTGAAATTGAAAACAACTGACAGCCAAATCTTATGACTTTTCTAGTCCACATTAATATTTTGGAGTGGAGCACAATCACATGCTTTTAAAAAATCCTCATTCTTCTTTATTCACAGCAGCCTTCCTCATATACTAATTAAATGAGCTTAAGAATGAGCTCAACTTTTCTGTCTATGCAAAAATAAATGCTTGTTAAATATCTGGGAAAGAAAGAAAAACTCTGATACTTGGCTCCAGGGAACCCAAACAAAATGCAGTCATGGTGCCTTTCCTCTATTGTTGGCTTCCAGCCACACCCTGACCAAGAAAACACAAGCATACTTCTGCCCAGTTGCTTTCTGTGTTACCCTGGGCAGGTCAGGGCAGTAGAAGTGATGGTGACCAGCAGTTCACATACAACTCTGGACTCTGTAATGTGCTTCTGCCACCATCACCCACCTGGAATAGCATGGCTAGAAGTGTTTCTCCACCATACTATCCTACCAAAGTATTTTCTCCTCAGTGTCTTGTCTATTCCATCTGTCTACGTGCACCATAGCAGACAGAGCCTTTGGTGCAAAAAGGAACGGGATGGCCTAACCTCGGCACAGTTAACTTGGGTAACTTCTAAAAAATATTGGTAACTAAAAATAAAATAAAAGGGGCAGCATCCATTCTGGTGACCCCTGACTTTTTCTTTGAGTCTGATGAGTGCTGATACTGATTATCAGCAGGATTAAATTTTTAAAAAACAAGTTATATTGTGAGTGACATTTCAAAAAGATGATTGGTTTAAAAGGTTAAGGTTTGTAACTAGGTCTTGATAGAATGAGTAGAGAATGACTCATTCCTATCCTAAAGTTATAGTTGTGGTAAACCTTTCTATGATCCATGGTAATCCATTGTGTATAGCGGAGAGCATATTTTCAGTAGCTTGTTTTCCTGTCTGCGCCCAAAAGTTATCCTTGCAATGAGAACAGTTACTTTTGCAGGTTGCAGACCCAGTTTGGCCAGAATAGTGTAGAAATGCTACCATCTATTTTGCCTGATTTGTTTTCACAACAATGAAATGTAAATTCTCCAAATAGAAGGATGAATATTAAAGAGAGTTGATAACCACTCCCTTTAAACTAGTGCCATTCCTTCTTGTGCTTGTTTTATTTGGTGAGGGTATACACATGTGGAGAACAAGAGAAATCCCATAATTGTAAGCCATGGGAATGAAGATTAAATACCAGAAAAAAATTCTTTTTTTTGTACCGTTGCTCTTTCCTAGATGAGGAATCACCTATAATATGCTTAACTGTAATATATCTTGGCAGATATGTGAAATAGTTTCATTTCACTGTTCAGATGTTTCACTTTTTTAAAAAACAACCTTCTGTTTGATTGCAAGTCTTTAGAACTTCTCTTGAAACATGCTGCTTTAGAAACTCAAGAATTATGAAAGAAGGAAATTTGATGCAGCTGTAGTTATGTTGTGTTTTTGTGTGTTCTAATGGAATATAACATGTACAATTCTTGACCTGTGAAAATGTGCCATTGTTTTGCACATTTTAACACTTTTGCTCCACTCCATCCTGAGTCACAGTGTGTTATTCTCTCTGCTTCAATGATGTCAAAGGCATAATGGAGTAAATAAAACTGCATGTGACGTTGTATGCATGTGATGTTTATCTGTTAATGTTTTACATGATTGAAAGCTATTATGCAAATAATTTTCTGCTGGAAATTGCTATAGAATGCACCAGGACTGTTATGTTTTCTTATTGTAGTTCCCTTTTGTTCCTTCATGTTTTAGTACACAAGCAGACAAAGATCAGAGGAACACTGGAAAGAAATATATAGGTATATCAATACTTATATCTATATACCATTCAGCATCACATTATTCAACTTCAGCAGACAATCCCAAATTCTAGTATCTGTATATTCAAGCTGGAAGCCTTGTGAATAGTCAACATGGGAGGCCTAACATGCAATATGGGCCTATTTCACATATGGATAGGGAGGCTTGATCTTTACCCCTCACCCATGGTCTTGATCCAGATTGGGGCTTACACACTGTCTGTTTGAATGGAGCCAGGAGGAACTCCCTTTCATTCCAGGTTCCAATCCAGCTGCACCTCTTCGAAATTTGACTGATGTTTGTAGGGAAAGAAGCTGACAGCTCAAAACAAAGCTATGTCTTCTAGCCCTGAATTGTCTGTCAAACCAGTTTCTCCCCCACAAAACCCATTACATGTTAATTTAATGTAATCTAGCCTTGAAATGTCTTATCAAACCAGTTTTTTTAAGGCCAGACATTGTGGTTACGTGTCATTCTAGTTATTTGGAACAGGTAACTAACAAAGCTGACTGCTCTGACTTTGTACAGAGAGGATTGTGCAGGTAGTGTCCGGGTCTATGTGCCCCTCCTTTCCCCCCCTGTGGGATAGAAGGATAAAAAATGTGCTAAAGTCTGGAAGAACTGTGTACTTGCAATGGTACCTTTGTGTTAAATTCTTGTCTTAAATCTCAACAATTCTAATAGTATACTGAGTATCTTGGTGCTCATGATTACAAGCCAGAGTCTTTACCTCTTGGGCCCCATCACTCAACAGACTGCCCAAGTTGAAATCTAATATTCAAGCAGATAGCAATGCTTGTCTGTTTCTGTTTCAGTACAAAAGGTATATTGTAGCACCATTATTTATTGGGACATAATGACTTAAAGGTGAGTTCCTCAGATAGGTCTAAGTTAGTGGGCTGAGGTCCTCGAAAACCTAAGACTATAACAAATTATTATTTTTAATTGCCACAAGGCACTTCTCTAAGCCAAAAATGGATTGTTTTCTTAGTATATAGCAGTGATACTATGATTTTTGAGTGGCAGAATACCAAAAAAGAATAGACATTCCACTATACTGCTTTCGCACAGTGTATGAGATCACAGCTGGATATCTGCAATCTGAAGGTCATCTGAGAGAACTGTGGAAACAATCTCTTTATTCTCAGAAGGAAGAGAACATCCAGTAATATTGCAATAACACGCCTAGGAATACCATGATAAAATTGCTTTAGGCAGCCTGCTTAGGATATGTTACTATGTTCCAGTCCTATATAAACATTTCAAGTTACTGAGCTAATTGATTCCTCAAAATATATGAACCACTATTCAATCGGTATTTTTTAAATTCTAAAACTGATCAATAATGGATTATTGGAATCTGGAATTACAATTCAGCCACTAGGTTAGATCTTGCTGTGTTGCTAGAGACACTACATATAGATTCCAAATGACCTTTTTACAAGGAAAAAGTATGTTGGATCAGTTCTGACCAGCTACGTGCAAGGATTTCCAAAGTAGCACCAGAGCTCTAGACCAGAAGTGACTAACCTTTTTTCTCACTTTTGGACCACAGTTCCTAGAATCAGGGATACATCTACACGGCAGACTTGATACAAATTAATACCACTGCAATGGAATCCTGGCATCTGTATTTTAATGAGACATCAGCAGTCTTTAACAGAGAAGGCTAAAAACCTTGTAAAACTATATCTGCCATGATTCCATAGCATTGAGCCAGGTCAGTTAAAATTGTGTCAAACTGCTTATGTTCTACAGTGTAGATATACCCAGGGCCACAGACCATGCTGGTTGAGGGATTTTGGACCTAAATCTAATTGCTTGTCTCAAGTAGAATAGACCCACCGAATCAATGAGATTGTGTAAATATTGATTTGAAACACAACAGTTGATTCAGTAAATATATTCTGGTTGGGACTAGCAATGGGCAGGGGTAGAACTCCAGTGTAATTTCCCCCAGATCTGCTTTTTCCTGTCAACTTAGGGAACAACTGCTGGGTCTCCTGCCAATGGTGGGACTGAAGGCTGTTGTGGGCAAAGTTAGAACCTAAAATAGGCGAGACTGCCATTTTGTTCTCTCACTGTCACTTTTTGTTATATGTGGGAAAGGGCCTTTTTGTGTTGTGCCTCGATTTGCAACTCTGCCTTATTTATGTTTGTCTGGCACCAACACTTTTCTCTTTTTCTCTCTTTTGCCCTTTTAATAGTTTTAAAGATGTCTTTGGCTTTTGTCTGCTATTTCTGTTTTTATTGGTCTTTTACTGACATTTCTGTTTATAATGACAATGGCAATGTATATCGCCAGCTCTTCTTTGTGAGTAATCTTGAAACTGTTATTAATATATGTCAAAATAAAGATAGTTGAAACAATACAACAAAGCATCAGTATAGTATTTCTCCCATACTGAAAAGAATACAGTATTACGCATTATGTGTGTTTTTAAATGGAGAATGGTCTGTGATTTACATAAAACATTATGCTGATTTGAGAGATAGTTACTCTGCAGACTGCACAGTTTCTAATGATGAATTTGTGTCCTCTAAATATCACACCTTTACTGGTTATCACATTGACCTAGATTTTAGTTTGACTTGAGCTACTTTGGGTACAAAAGAAAGTGCTTGTACAGGAGACCCATTCATTGTCAGTCAGATGCAAATAAAAGGTTGGCGAGCTTGACGTTTTAAAGTAGACATCCCCATTATAGGAGGGATTTTGGTAGCCATGGTGATTCATCCCTTGTATGTTTTGAAGTGCTTGGGAGTAGTCTGCTTTGTTGGGTAAAATGCCTGTGTCAGCAAATGCTATGAAACAGCAAACCAGCCAGAACTGGGGATTACTGCTGAGGCTCAGATCAGTTCCTCCTTGGTGCAGGTGGACACCCCAGCCATTCTTGGGTTGTTTAGGCAAGTTTCCTGCATGTCAATGAATCACTTGCAGAACTATCATTAAGAAGGGTGAAAGCACCACCTCTGACAAAAGATTTTGAGTGTCTTGAACAAAAGCACATTTTAGCTTTCTTTGCAAAAAAAATGCAATTGCCTTGCCAAACTACAACTCCCATGATCTGTAGCACTGATTGATGGCAGTTAAAGTGGTGTAAAACTGTAATAATACTGCAGTATAGATGCACTCTCAGTACCAGAGATGCTCGTGTAAAGTTGGCTCAACCATTTCATAAGGAGAGCCAGAGTCACAGTGTGGAATTCCAACAAATGCTAGGACGGAGAACAAGCAAGCCTAGTAAATCCAGCTTCTCCTCTCAGTGGAATAATCCCTACATCATCACTCGTAAATTAGTCAATGCAGCCCAATCAACATTTATCCCACACTACAACAAAGGTTCTTTGGGAACGAACAGTAACAAAGATAAGGGCATGTGGCGTGCTACTAAAAAGATAAAGTGCATTGTAAAAGATGCCCGAAGAACAAATAGCTCCAACTGAGTCAGGCCATATTTTACAAGGAAAAGCTTCCACAGCTTAGTCTCACTTGAAAGAAAATGCTTTCTTGATGCATTTCACCATCCAAATGCAAACACCATCCTGGCATCCAATGAGTGAATTAGTATCACTTCTGGCGTGTGTACTAGATGACCACAGTTTTAATAAAGAACTTGTAGTAGAAATACATTTGCAATATGTGGAGGCTTAATGTTCAGGGAACATTTATTTTTGGGCTATATGTGTACAGTGCTATTTGGCTAGCCCATGCTGTGTTGATCATGAATTGGTTCTCCATTTAGAAGAACAGTCTACTTTCCACAAAATTCACCATAAGTCCCCTATTTCAACCTCTTGCAGCAGTTTTTACAATAAATGTAAAATGAATCAGATAAAATTTTGAAAATGTGCACCGTACTTCAAAATAAAGAAAAAGCAGATAATCCCATGTCCTGAAGAATTGCTTTGTGTCTGCACAATTTGATTGCTGAAGAATTGATATTTTGAGGAATGAAGATGGAGGGGAAAGTGGTCTTTGGACCACACCCAAAGCCAGGACCCAAAATAGTTTTGGGGACAGGGAAAAAGGTTCCAAATTTTGTATCAACTGTGTGATGTAGCAACCAAAAAAGCCAATGAAGATCTGGGTTGCATCAACAGGACTATAATGTGCAGATCAAGTGAAATAATAGTATCACTCTTCTGCTTTGGTCAGACCTCATTTGGAAAAAAATTCTAGTTCAAGAAGAATATTGACAGGGTAGAAGGTGTCCATAAGAGAATGAACAAAATTGAAAAGGTCTTGAAACTGAGCTCTGTGAGGAATAGCTTAGGGAGCTTGGAGAAGAGAAGATTGAGAAATAATATAACCACCTTTAAACAGATGAAGTTGTATCATGTAGAAGACAGAGCAAGCTTATTTTCTACTGCCCCAGAGACTAGAACATAAACCAATGGATTCAAATGATAAGAAATGAGATTCTGCCTAAACAGT